ATAGATAGATAGATAGATAGATAGATAGATAGATAGATAGATAGATATAGTGGCATACCATATAGGGGTTCTGTGGGAACTTAATGAAATAATGTAAGTGAATGCTTATAATTATATTTAGCTATACTGTGGTTGTTTGAAAGAAAATAGCCCCCAAAGGAGTGTTACTATTAGTGGGTGTGGCTTTGTTAGAGTAGGAGTGGCATTGTTGGAGGAAGTATATCACTGTGGGAGTGGGCTTTGAGGTCTCCTGTGATCAAGCTACTCCCATGGAGACAGTCTACTTCCTGTTGCCTTCTGATTAAGATGTAGCTAGCACCAGTTCGCCTGCATGCTGTCATATCCCACCATAACGATAATGGACTGAACCTCTGAAACTGTAACTGAGCCACCACAATTGAATGTTTTCTTTTATAGGAGTTATCATGGTCATGGTCTCTCTTCACAACAATAGAAACCCTAACTAAGACACATAGTTAGCCAATGAAACAGTATAAAGTGTCTCAGAAGTACAGGTGCTGGCCAAGAGTGTTTTCTTAGCAGGCCCTGGGGTTTATCTCTAATATAATACAGAACCAAAAGCAAAGCGCACAGGACTTCTTAGAAAGCATTTATTTTCCCCAAACTTACTCAAAGAACAAAAATAAGAACCACCAGCATAGTCCCTGAGCTCAAACATTATATAGTTCTGTGGTGACCAAAGCAGCAGGGAGACATACTCCAGGCTGCAGTCATTACTACTTTCTCTGCCTTAGGGACTTCAGTACCAGTAAAGCAGGATCCTAAACCACATCCAGAAAAGAACTTCAGAAGCGAAGCTAGCAAGTGTATTAAATAGAGCTAAGGGGAAATAAATGCTTTGGATTGGTGTAAGGACAAATATACATATTTGATTTTAAGGTATTTTAATTTGCATTGATCAAAGGATACAATTTGCAACAAGGTTTGAAGATTAAGCAAAGGTCAAAATTAAATTGTTTAAAATTAAATAAAAAGTATGATAATTGGTGGAATTATTTCTCTTATCTTAAAGACTTTTGCAAATGATATATAGTGTAGCGTGGTTCATGAAGTGCATCATTTAGATTTAATGATGAGAAAGGAATACTGATACAGTTAAAATCAAGGCCACAGACAATATGGCTCTAAGTAAGCATTAGGGGGGTTGTTTTGTGTTTGTTTTCTGAGGTTTCACACATTGTACTTAATCAAGGAAAATAACCATGAAGAAGATGTGATAAGAAATAAACTGACATTATCGTCCAGTGTATGGTCTTATACTAGAATCATAGAAAGTACTCATTATTAATACATCCATTCAACATGAGGAATGTAGAGTTCAAATAGGCTAAGGAAGTGGCTCAAGGTCCCATAGCTAGGCATTGGTGACCTTGAACTCACCCCTGGGCTTGTTTTATTCTTTTTTATTTTGTTTTGTTTTTTTCATTTTTTCAGAGACAGGGTTTCTATATGTAATAGTTCTTGCTGTCCCGGAACTTGCTTTGTAGCTCAGGCTGGCCTCAAACTCACAGAGATCCTCCTGCCTCTGCCTCCTGAGTGCTGGGATTAAAGGCGCATGCCACCATGCCTGATGGCTCAGTTGATTCTAAAACTAGCTTCTTCATCATGACGTTTACCCTGTTTTCCAGGAAGTCAGTCTCCAGAGAGAAGAAGAGATCTCTACTTTTATTAGCCTCGGTGGGAAGAACAGAATTCCTTTTTGCTCAGCATGATCATGCTTTTCTACTGTGGATCCAGAAGCCCTAAAGAATTTACCTGTCGCTCTCTGTCCCCGCTACTAAGAAATATCCCATCAGGCACAAGTTGCTGCCCTTTTTCAGTTTTGCTCTCCTTTTCCTTAGCAACTGTGCCCGATGGCAGGGGTTTTCAAACATAAGCAAATCCTCAGCCCATAAAATGTCCCAAAGAGCTGTTGTGGGGTGGAATGCACAGAGATCCACCTGCTGACCGTTGTTCCGCCTCACTGTGTCCTCTGTTCTCTCCCTTAGAAGCTATGAGCTCTCAGCTTTGCAAGCAGTGTCCTTAAACCAGACCTGAGCTCATGGGATTTTATGAGGCTGTTTGGCTTTTCTGACTAAATCAAGAGATCAAAACAACTCAAAAAAGTTCCAGGTTAAACCAGACTGCAGCCAACCTCACTCCAGCCTCAGAGAAAAGCCAAATAAAAATGATAAGCAAAAGGCTCCCCTCCCCATCAGGGAACTGGTTGAGGCTGCTGACTTCCTCCTTCTTCAACGTCTGGACTCCAGACTTTAGGGAGAAGCTGAAAAACCTCCATTTGGACCTCCTCATTAAAATATTTGCTTAGAAAATTTAGTTCTTCAGTTCCAGATAGCTGATTTTCAGGGGCGTTGTGGAGAAATCTGAGATGGAGATTGAACCAAGTCCCCATTCCAGCATGGGCCCTGCTGCTGGAGCAGAACTTATTCTAGAAGATTCAAGCCTTTTCTTGGTTGCACTTCCATGAGTTTCTGCAATGCCTTGCTCTGAAGATGAGGATCATGACATCTAGCACCCAATAGGTGCAAAATTGGACTTTTGGGGTCCTTGCAGCATCCTCAAGGAGCCTAACTAGCCTATACAAACCATGTACGCCCATCTCGAAGCTCAGGGTTAGCAATATCTGGGTGAGAGTGACTTTCTTTTAAGTACTGAAATGTTAGGGTCATCCATGCAGATGCCCACAGTTGCTTTTGTTAAGTTGGAGGGACAAGGTGAGGTTTACTTTATCGCCCCAGTCTGGTAGATGGATCATATTTGTGTGACCTGGCTACTTGTCACGTGATGACCCCGGAAGCCCCTGCCATCAGTGTTCCCTACCCATGACATACTTGCTCTTCTGCAACAACCCAGAGGGTGAAGAATAATAAAATTATGCTGTTTTAGATGCCACTAGCTTGTATTCTATGTATTTTCTTTTGGTCTTGGGTTGACTTTTGCCATCCACTATCTCATTTAAACTTCCAGACAATCTTGAGGTTAGCATTATCATTCAGCTACAAAACCCTGAAACTTACCCTGGAATAAAGATACAAATGGCTGCCAATTTCCCTACTTCAATTAAGAGGGGACAAAAGAACTTTGACTGGGAGACTCCATGCTCCTCTGACACACATAGGCAAATTCTTGTCCAGATCAGCTGCTATTCAACCTCTGATGTAGACGTCCAGGTCTGTCCTGTTTTCAGCTGCCCACATGACTTCCAAAGAGCCTTTTATCATTTTACTTTTGCAATTTTAAAATGTTCCACCCTACCCCTGCCTACAAAATCTTTACCATTCTTTACATACATAGGAGGTGTAGCTGGGCCCTTTGTACTGTGTGTGTATAGCCTCACATAAACACTGGTTGGTTATCGGGTGGTGTGTTAGTGGAGTGTGTGTGTGGTCGTGGGTGGGGCAGAAACGGCAGCTTCCCAGCAGATTGAGCAGTCTTGATGCTGTGGGAAGTCCTGTAGTGTTGGAGTTCCGAAACCAAATTCACATCTCTCTACAGTTGGGGACGTTTGACAGCAGCCTGGTGGGCTCTGACTCATCATCTACCTTGGCCCTTACTCTGCAACACATACCCCTTCCTGACCTTTACAAGCTAAAAGAACCGAAAGTGCTTCAAGAGGGCCGGAAATTCTCACATGTTTGAATGATGCCTATCTCTACTATAGCAAAAACAAAACGAAAGGTAACAGAGCCTACCTTTCTTCTTTTATTCTTCTCTCATACATTACATCCTGACTGAAGTTTTCCCCCTCTCCACTCTTCCCAGTCCTCCCTGCGCCTCCCCTCTCCCCCAGACACACTCATCTTTCATTTCCCTTCAGCAAAGAGCAGGTCTCCCAGGGATATCAACAGAACATGGCATAACAAGTTACAATAAGACTGGGCACAAACTCTCTTATTCAGGCTGGATGTGGCAACCTAGTAGGAGGAAAAGGGTTCAAGAACAGGTAAAAAAAAGTCAGAGATACCCCCTACTCCCACATAGCTGAGCAAGTGTCCCTGAGGCATTATGAAGCACCTTTTGGGTATATGCCCAGGAGTGGTATTACTGGTCTTGAGGTAGATTCATTCTCAATTTTCTGAGGAACCACAATATCAATAATCATAATGGCTGTACAACTTTGGACTCCCAACAGCAATGGAGGAGTCTTCCCCTTGCTCCACACCTTTGCCCACACGAGCTTTCACTTATGTTTTTGATCTTAGCCATTCTGACAGGTATAAGGTGAAATTTCAATGTACTTTTGATTTGCAGTTTCCCGATGACAAAAAATGTTGAATATTTCTTTGTTTCTCAGCCATTTAAGAATCCTCTATTGAGATTCTCTGTTTAGATCTGTATCCCATATTTAGTTGGATTATTTGGTTTGTTAATGTCTAATTTCTTGAGTTCTTTATATAGTTTGGATATTAGCTTTCTGTCAGATGTAGGGTTGGTAAAAATCTTTTCCCATTTTGTAGGCTGCTGTTTTATCCTCTTCACAGTATCCTTTGCCTTACAGAACCTTTTCAGTTTCATGAGATTCCATTTATTAAGTGTTGATTTTATTGCTTGTGCTACTGGTATTCTGTTCAGAAAGTTGTCTCTTGCCCCAATGTATTCAAGGCTATATTCCTCACATTCTCCTCTATCATGTTCAGTATATCTGAATTTATGTTGAGGTTTTTTATCCACTTGGACTTGAGGTTTGTGTGTGGTGATAGGTATGGATCTATTTGCATTCTTCTGCATGCTGGCATCCAGTTAGACCATCACCATTTGTTAGTTGTGTTCTTTTTCCATTGCGTATTTCTAGCTTCTTTATTAAAAATCAGGTGTCCATAGATGTGTGGATTTTCATCTGGGTCTTCAGTTTGATTTCATTGATTCACCTGAATAAAGACCATCTTAAAACTTCCAAGTAGAAGTCCATATGAGCCTCCTACTCCATCCAAGATGAAATGCTGATATACAATCTTAATGAAATTCAGTGGTTCAAATATACACAAAAGACACGGAAGTAGGAGGAGATTGCTTGGGAAGAAGGGTTTCACTGGAAGCAGTGGGGGATGGAAGAGGCCAATGGCGGGCAAAAATAAAATTCATTATACACATGCACGAAACCTGTCAAGAAAATAAATAAAATGTTTCAAGTGAGGGACTAGGGAGATGACTCAGCAATTAAGAGCATTGATTGATCTTTTAAAGGTACCAGGTTTGATTCTCAGCACCCGTTCTAGGGGTGGGATCTGATACCTTCTGGCCTCCGTGGGCACTGCATGCACATGGTGCAGACACAGCATGCAAGTAAAACATCTATTCACATAAAATAAAAATAAGTAAGTCTAAAAAGAAAAGTTTCAAGTGGGAATGTCATTTGCAGATGCAACGGAAGTTTACTTCCTTTTAAACATTGTTTTCATTCTCGAGAGCAGTGTCGTGAGTGAATAGTGAAAGGTGAAATCAATAGAAAGGTGAAATCAGTCCTGCACAAGGGCTAATTACAATAAACAGGCTTTTCTCCCATGCAGACCATAAAGGATGGCCTTTTTCTAACAAAATGTCCGCAGTTAACATAAGTGATTGAAATAATTAGATAGTCTGATGTTTGTCTCTGCCTGATCCCTCCCAGTATTCGGGTGAGCCTGTGCTATCATTGCCTGACTTTTGCATGGATACTGGAGATCTGAACTCTCATGTCTTCATGCTTGGATGGCAAGCATTTTATCCAATCCCAGTTTAATGGTAATATATTGAAATAGCATGTTACTATGATTCTTTTTGTAAAAAAAATAGACCAGTGGTGATTTTAGAAATAAACACAGAAATGGCATTTTCATGAGCATTATTTCTTCATACATAATGTACAAATAAAATCTCAAGAATCTTCTCAGTGGAAATTCCTTAGAATCTATGAGGGTGACCACAATTAACACTCTTAGTAATGTGGGGTACGGAGTCTGAACCAACTGTCTTCCGTAGCCAGGCAAGACTTCCAGTAGTAGGACTGGGACATCAACCCAGTCACAAAACCTTCCATCTACAATCTGTCCTGCCTGCAATATGTGCTAGGGAAATGGTGGCACAGAACTTGTAGGAGTGGTCAACGAATGACTCTGGTCTAACTTGAGGCCCATTCCAGGAGAGGGAGCCCTTGCTTGACACTGCCTGGATGGTCAGGAACCAGAGGTTGGGCATCACAGAGAGTGAGGATAGAACCAAACACAACTGGAAAGCAGAAGTCAATGAAATGGTTCTTGATACTCTACTATACTCATAGACCAGAGCCTGGCATAATCATCATCAGAGAGCCTTCATCCAGCAACTGATGGGAACAGATGCAGAGATACACAGCCAAACATTAGGAGCTCAGGGAACACTGGGGAAAGAGTGGAGGAAGAATCGTAGGAACCAGAGGGGTAAGGATGCCACAAGAAAACCTACAGAATCAACTAAGCAGGGCTCATAGGGGCTAACAGAGACTGAATGGACAATCAGGGAGACTGCACGGCACTGCTCTGCATGTATGTTATGAATAAGTAACTTGGTCTTCTTGTGGGACTCCTAACGGTGAGAGTGGGGGCTGTCTCTGACTCTTTTGCCTGTTCTTGGAACCCTTTTTTTTCCTGCTGGGTTGCCTCATCCAGCCTTGATATGAGGGTTTGTGCCCAGTCTTATTGTAACTTACTATTTCATGTTCAGTTGATATCCCTGGAAGGCCTGCTCTTGGCTGAAGGGAAACAGAGGAGGAGTGGATATGGGGCAGAAGAGAGGTGGGGGGGCAACTGGAGGAGTGGAGGGAGACAAAACTGGTTGGGATGTAATGTATGAGAGAAGAATGATCAAAATAAAATTTTTTCTTAAAAATAAATTTGGTTACTTTTTCTTCATTTTAATTGGTTTGCATGTGACATTTCATTAAATCTTTATTTCCTTCCCCCCCCTCTCTTCTTTTGTTTTTGAGACAGGCTTTCTCTGTGAAGCTGCTGTTGGTCCTGGAACTCACACTGTAGACCAGTTAGCCTCAGATTCAGAGAGCTGCCTGCCTCTGCCTCTTGAGTGCTGGAATTAAAGGTGTGCGCCACCACTGATCAGCACCATTAATTTTCAAAATGGGAAGCCCTGGTGATTCTCTGAAAAAATCAAAACCCACTCTTGGGTATGTACAATTGATTCTTAAGTCATTCTCTTTGTGGGTCTCTCCTTCCCTCCTTCCATTCTACATCCCCCCTCAATCCCCTTTTTTTGCTTAAATTTATATTAAAACTTAGTCTTTCCAGGTGTAGTGGAACATACTTTTAATCCCAGCAATCAAGAGGGAGAGGAAGGTGGATCTCTATGAGTTTGAGACCAGCCTTGTCTACATAGTGAGTTCCAGGCCAGCCAGAACTACATAAAACAAACAACAATAATAACAACAAAAGTTCACAAACAAGCCAACCAACCAAGAAATCCAAACAACTTAATCTTTTCTTTTTTGAGATAAGATCTCCTGCAGCCCAAGAGAATCAAAGTACTATGTAGCCACGGATGGTCTTGAACTTTTGATTCTCTTGTCTCTACTTCCCAAGTGGTGAAAATACATTAGGAGGTATGAAACCCAACTTTGATGCCTATTCTTAATAATCTCCAACTTTGTTCAAAACAAAATAAAAATGAAAGGTTTTCTTAAGGCACTGCAAGTTTTTTCCTAAGAGTTAGGTCGCCTGGGTTTTGGTCACCTCTTTATAGCCATCTTGAATTGTTCATTTTTATCCAACAATCCCCTTCCCTACCTCAGCACTCTTAGTTCCCCCATGTGTAAAATAAGTTGATCTCTAAGGTCATTTCCAGCTATGAGAGCCTGTCT